AGGAAATGCAACGCGGAGCAGCGCTGGGGGGGCTGCAGCTCCCCCCCTCCCCTCACCCAGCTGTGTGTGTGCGGGCTGGGGGGACTCAGGCGCATGGAGCCCCAGACACCGCCCAGAGACCCTCACCGCCCCCCCCGCAGCAACCCCGCCTGCAAGGGGTGCCCTGTGTCTCTTGGGGAGCCCCCGGACTCCGAGAAGTGCCACTGACTGCCCTTCATTTGCTCATTAGTCTCCCCCTGCACACACACTTCCACCCCGGAGAGCCCAACTCCAGGATCAGCTGGAGGGACACCCCAGCTTTGACCCCCGCAGCATTTTAGGGTTGGAAGGCAGGAGAAATGCCCGAGAGCCCCCAATGCCTTCCGCAGGAGGAGAGACCCCTGGCACTGCCCAAGAGTTTTTAAAGCCTTCCCTTTCCAAACCACCCGGTGGGCAGTGGGGCAGCCCTTCCCTCCAGGTGGAAATGAAAGCGATGAGGCTGCAAGAACCTCCGCCTTGTGCAGGCCAGCTCCGCCTTGGTTTCTTCCCCGATCTGTCCCCAGAGCTTGCCAACGTGGCTATTTTATGGTAATTTAATTACTTAAAAATCTTGCGTCCCTTTGCACATTTGGAGCTGTGATAAGGTATAATTAAATTAAAATGTTAGTATAAAACGGAGGGAAGAGAGTCAAAGGGAGTCTTTAGCGGTGTTGTGTATTAATAGAAATATTCTTGGAGGGGGGAGGGGGTGGAAATACCAAACATGCTGAAATAAAATACTTCGTATAAAAGAAAAGAGCATCTAGGAAGATTTCAGTCCGAGGAAGAGCCTTTTCCTACCTACGAATTTCCCCGTTGCTTGTTTGTTGTTTTTATTTTTTATCATAAGAGAAATCCCTGAGAGCTCTCGAGAAGTAGCTTGCAATACCGAAGCTAGATGTGGAGACTACTCTATGACTGCTAAATTGCTAAAAATGAGTCTGTTAACAATATTTGCAGCTCAGGAAGGAAAAGAGGCAACCGCTTGACCTTAGATAATTGAAATTTGATAGTTAAACTAATTGCGCCATTATTTTAAAATAATAAATTACTTATTAATCCCATCTCCTGTTGTACGCTGGCAGTTAGGACTGAACTTTCCCGATTTTATTCGGCACTGCTTCTCTTCTTCTCTTTTTCAGACAAACATGCATACAAATATTTACAGACCTCTTCGGGAGCGGAGTTGCTGATTAGCTAGCCTCACCTTCTAACCAGCAACATGCACCTCACGCATCAAGGAAGAATTATGGTCCTTTTTAGATTGTTTCTAAAGATAGTTCTTATATCCTGCTTTATGTGCAGACTGTTGTTTCGCAGCCTCATAGATCATATATCATACGTAATAATTAAATTATATTTAAATGAGTGTTATATCTAACCGGTAATACATACAACGTATCGATTTCTGTTATGTATGTACATATTCAGATTGCAAACAATTTATAAGATGGTCGAACATTTCCAACGCTTGGTAATACTGGGTTACCTATCTAAACACGCACTCATTTCCTGGTCGTAGCAAATGTCTAAATCATTAAAAAAAACCAAAAAAACAAAGCACATTGCCTGACTGATTTCCCACAAAATATCTATGCAACCCGGAGTGGTGCACTAGGTAAGTTACCCTGTTTGCAGAAGAAAGCAGGGTCACACACAATCACCCCTCGCGGGCACCACAACTATTCAACAAAACCAATGCTGACAGAGGAAGGACAAGGTTGTTTGCCTGTAGGGTGTGTATGTGTCCAGCACCTCAAGTCTATTTAAAGAGAGGAACGCTAGAGACTTACACTGCAATGAGAAGGAAAGCTTGTCAGAGATCAACAGCAGAGACGTTTTCGGCGCGCAGATAGGCATGCATACACAGCTACATACGTCCAAATACAGGCTGGCGAGCGCGACCCCAATCTACTATGTTACCATAACTATTATCCACCTCCTAAGGCAGCTCCTGGTATATTCTGGTTACAATACTACCGGAAATTGTCGTGCTTCCAACACTCAGTACAATCCAACGAAAGCAGGTTTCCTTATTTTGTTTGCAAGACTAGTTATATTCGGAGATCTGGCCAGGTTTTGTGTTATTTACTAGGGTGAGATCTCCAAGTATACTTGTTTAACTGGACTTCTTTCCTTTATCGTGTATTTATGGTGCTCAGTTACACGAGAAGGCTACAATTGGGATCCGACTGTAAATCTACAAGGTGACCCGAGCTGCTCAGCTGAAGTCTGTTTTTCATGTGGTTCTAGCAGGCTGTGAAGACGTGCTTATGCAGGATCTCCAAAGGCCTGTTCCTTGTCTTTGTGGTTTTGTTATCATAAACAAGAACCCAGCCAAGACCACCAAGTGTTATCTCGCACACGGCCATTTCGACATTTTACTGCAAGATTTATGGCTGCAATAAACAATCTCCGAACCTTTTCCCCGATACTTCCTTTTAAGCAAGCTCGTAGCATCATCCCACTTAAAAATAATAATAAAGCAAGAACTTTATTTTTATAAGAAATAAGGCACCCTATTTCCCTGGTGAAGAACAATTATTCAATTAATAAATTACTGAAAGTTTACCAGCTGGATCTTGCCATGGAAGAGTTTGAGCATTCACTGAAATGAAGTTGATAGGGAGATAGCTAATCTTCATGCACCAAGAGGATCCAAGCTCATGCATCCCCAAACAGTTTTGGGTGTTTTTGTTTTGTTTTGTTTTGTTTTAAATAAAGGTTATCCCCGTTTCTTGTGAAATATACAAGTCCCACGTGCGCGGCTAAAATATATTTACAGCAGCAAAAGATTAAAAAGAAAAGAGGGAGGGGGGGAAAAAATCAATTCAACCTTTCAGCTCGCCCCGTGCACCACGGAGGGTGGACGAGGAGAAAGAAACGCGCTCCAGCAGCCTGGTTTGAATCTGATTTGAACCATTTTGAATATATTTAGCCCCAGCTTTCCCTCTTGAATGCAAGCCTGTCCCAAGTTTCAAAGTGACCGAAAAGTGACACCGTGTGCATTTTGTTTCTTATTAATCTTACACATTGACAGTCTTTGTTAAATAACAAGGCGTGCCCTTCACCAGGCGACATTTTCATATTTGTTAGACGCGGTGACCTGAAGTTCACCTCGGCCTTGGACTTAGTTTTTCTAAAAGGTCTATAACAGTGTCTTTTAGATAGCAGGGTGCTTCGCTCAGGTCACTACTTCTAAGGGAAAATTAAGAAAAAAATCGCGGGAAAATGTAAACGTTATGGAATGTATCAACTGTATCTGTCCTTTGTTCTTTGGCAATCATAAAGCCCGCAAGACAGCTCCTTAGCTTAACGTTTGTTAGCTCGCAGGCGAACAGGCTAAAAGATTTGCTTTCAGTGGTCGAGATTGGGGCGAGGGCTGATTTTTTTTCTCTCCCCCCCTTCCATTTTTTTATAAAGCGATGACTTCACCGGCACTGTATATGTTCTAACAACTGCATGTTTGGCGTGATTTGCTTGTTCTGTGTTGGCATGGTTAAATAAACACACATAAAATGTGATTTGTGGTAGAATTTTAAATGAATGGTCTTTTGAGCAGTCCTTCTCCAGCAGAGACCAGTGGGCGCTGCAGTCAGGGAATGAAAGGGAAGAAGGAGTTGGTCTCAAATTCATAACTGTTCTGTTTTCTTTCTTTTTTTTTTAGGCAAAAAGGGAATCATTTAAACAACAATTGAGATAAGTCAATATTTATTGAAGCTGGCACTTAAACCACTTCGGAAATATTCTACTTGGCATTTTTATTCTGCACTGGACTGAAAATAGAGGATTTCAATAAATAATTGTTTTGGTAAGAAAGCCAACAGATTTCACTTCTTCACTTGAGGAACCTGATTGTAAAAACAGCTTTTCGGCCTGGGAGTGTCAGTGATGCAGTGTGAATCTTGCAGTGTCCTTTCACGAACCAGATATTGGCTACAGATTTTAGGCTGCTGTCAGGTTTTGTGCTTTACCAAACATGCAAGTTGTCAGAACAAGCGTCGATAATCTCTCACGTGAGGAAAACCTTCTATTTAACCCCTCAAAAATGCATCATGGATCGCTTGCAGTATCATTCTTTTTGTGAACGAGTAATAAACGCATTTGCAAATACATTTATAACATTTAACCACTGTAGTCATATACGAGGATTTGGGTATAATCGCCAACAATTCCCCGCGTTGATTACAGACTAAACACATCGTTTATGTATTTTCAAGAATTCCTATTTTCCACCGTGAGCCACCAGTTCCACTATCAACCAATTCAGCTGTATCTAAATATCGTATAGATTCTTGTATTTTCTGTTCTAACAGATAATGATGAAGTACATTTTTCCATCTGACTTCCTGTCCCCTCCTCCACACCTTTCACATCTGTCCATGAGTATTT